GAGGCAGATGGTTAGGGACATAGGTTTGGGGGTCAGAAAATTCTGAGTCTGAATCCAAATTCTCCATCTTGCCTGTTCTGTGTCTGGAAGAGGAGCCACAGGAAGACTCCTAAGGGGGCCGTGGGGAAGCGCTGAGTGGCACGTGCCGGGACTGCATGGTCAATCTTGGCCATCATGCCTGCTTGCCTGGGCCCCGGGTTCTTGCCACCAACCCTTGTTCTCGCCACTAGATCCCTGCAGGCAGGAGAGGGCAGCAGAGGCCAGGCAGAGCCCGCTGAATCCCCAGGACTCTCTCAGGGCCCAGAGAGACACTGGGGAACAGAGATGTTTAAACTGTCACACTCGCTGGGACCACCTAGCAGCTGCAGAAGCCACAGGTTCCTGGGCCCCAGCTCCAGAGGTCAAGCCAGTTTGGACAGACTGGCACCTCTGATGTGGGCAGTTCCTGGGAATCAACATCAGAGGGGAGGCCACTGGGCAGGGCCCTCCTACCTCTCTTGGCCCTGTGGCCTGCATCCCAGGCCCCAGGCCTCCCAGGCTCCGTGAGCTTAGGAGATTCTGGCAGTGGGTCTCCATGATGGCCGCAGGCCCTACCAGTTGTTAAAAGCCTATCACTTGAGCATGTGCTGTCTTCCTTTTCCCTGGGGCAGGAAGACAGTCCAGGCACACCAAGGAAGATGGGTGGCCAGCTGTTCCCAAAGGGGCCCTCCTAGAATATGGATTCTTGGACTTTTTGTGCTGCCCCCCCCCCCAAAGGGCACACATCACCAGATCTCCAGAGTGTGAGGGGTCTGGTGGCCATTCCCATCTGGCTGCTAGGGAACTAGGTGTCCCTGGCTCCTTAAGAGCATGGTTTCTTTAACCATCACCCCCTAGGCCCACCAGGACAGTGCTATCAGAGAGGGGTGACTAAGGCTCAGAGCTGGCTTGCTCAGTCAGGTGGCAGCCAGGCAGGGATTCCAGCTGTCTCTCCACTACTCTCTCCCTCCCAGGGAAACTGCCCATCCTGCCACACCACTAACCCTGTCCTGCTCTAAATCCCCCAGCCCCACGCAGAAGAGAAAATAGTGGGTGCAATGACCTGGGAGAGCCAGGCCCTCCAACACCCCTGGGGTGCCTTCCACTGCTGGCCCTTGGGCTCCAGGAGGGGACCCTGGGCAGCAGCTCCAGGAGTGAAGCCCTGCGGGCCGCAGCTCCTCCCTCCTGGGGCTGCAAGGAGCGGTCAGCAGGGTCAGTCTCTGGGGCTCAGCAGCGCCCAGGGTGTCTGCCTGGCTGAGAAGCCTGGCCACAGGAGGGTGGGCAATCCCCTACCAGAAGCCGGATGGATGGCTCACAGCCTTCCCGTTCCCCTCCTCCAGCCCTTAGAGTGGGGGATTAAGGGCACCTTGACTGCGGTGCTTAGGGAGAACCCCCTAAGCTGAGCTTAGAGACTGTGGGTGGATTCTGCCTTGGATGCCCTGTTCCAGCGACCCATAGCCGCCGAGGTAGTTCGTGGATATAATTTTGCCCCAGGCGGGGCGCTTTCGCGTTTTAAGTTTGTAATTTGCAAGTGCGGGACGCTGGTGTTCCCATGACGGTGGGACCTTCACCCGAGGGCCCCTATGCGAGTCCAGGCCGATATGCGCCCCGAGCAAGGCACAGTCCAACAAAGTGCGGTCTCCGTCCAGCAGAAGCGGCGCGAAATCTCAGACTTGGGTGTGGAGGCTGTTTTGCCTGCGGGTCTGGCCCTTCCGGCCTCCCTGGCTCTCCTCGCGGGAAGGCTGGGCTCTGCCGCTCGTCCTCCCGGCAGGTCAGGCCCCGTCCCCAGGGAACAGGGGCCATTTCCCTACATCAGCCCCCTRGGTGCCTCCTACCCTAGACGTGGGAGAGCTGGGAGATCCCGCTGCAAAGAAGGCCCTGCCCGGAGAGGGACAGGAATCCGGCTTCGCCGCCACCCGGGACTCGGGTCCAGCGGCGCCACGCACCACGGAGGCTCCGAGGCCTGTGGCGCGCCAGGGCGCCGAGCGGGGGTGCGGGGCTGGAGCCGCTGCAGAAGGAGACCTGGGGCGCGCCGCCTGGCCGGCTTGGGTTTCTCCTAATCAGCCCACTTCCCCCAGCCTGCGTCCTAATTGGGGCGCAGCCTCTGGCCGCGGAGGAGGGGCCCCTGCTGTGGCCTGCGGAGGCCGTCTGGACCGAGTGCAGTGTCCCCGCGCTGGGAGGCCTGGGCGCTTTCTCCGGCAAAACGCGCCGAGGTGGCCTCCGCCCCGGGAGGACCCTGCCTTCTCCGCGGGCTGTGAACCGGCCCCGAGCGCAGGGCCAGGCGCGTGCGGGGACCGCGCTGTGCACAGCGGACTCTGGCCAGAGGCTTCAGCGTCCAGAAACCCGGAGGGTTGGAGTCGCCGACCTTTATCTGTCCCCTTTATCTCGGTTTTATAGACAGCTGTTAGTTTGGGACATTAATTGCCCGGACGAGTTTATTGATAATTTTGATGTAACAGAGCACCGGAGAAATTACCCCCACGTCCAAAATGTCAAATCTGAGAAGAAGCAGGTTCAGAGACTCGCGACCCCACGGCGCGCAGACACTGCGGTGGGTCAGGACCGGCCGCACCAACAATGCGACTTATTGTGTTTGTTTTCCTGGGTAGCCAGGATCAGAGTGGGAGGGGTGGTCTGCAGAAGACACGAACCGAAGTCTCTCCCCTCACCCCCGGGCGGGAATACGATTTAGGAGCCAGCGGAATGGCAAACGCCTGCAATCCTAGCTAGCCAGAGGGCTGAGGCGGGAGGACGGAAAGTTCGAGGCCAGCCAGGGCAAACTAACAAGACCCTTTCTCAAAATTTCAGAGCTGGAACTGTGGTTCAGTGGTAGAGTGCTCCCCTAGCACGCACAAAATCCTGGCTTCAATTCTCAGTACAAAAAAAAAAAGAAAAAGAAAAAAGGAGAGAAAAAGAAAAAGAAAAAAATCACAGAAACAAAAACTAAAAAAGAAATATTTTGTACATTTATATATAATTTTATATATTTTATAATGTATGTGTGTATGTATACACAAACACACATACATACATGGAAGGAAATATGCCTATGGCCTTGGCCTCCAGCGGTGGTCCCTTTATCTCTCAAATTTCACTTTATTTTCAATCGGGGAAAACCAAGTATGGACACCAAAAAAACAAAATGAAACAAGACAAAAACCAAAACAAACGTTTAAAGTTGTTTTATGATTTATAACCTTTAGAATACGGGACTAGTAAAATTTGAAGTTCAAAGTAAAACTCATTAGTCTTGGAGTGGCCATCAAAAAAATTATATATATACATATATATGTGTATACATACATACACACACACCCATATATAATTTGCATATATAACATACACACATATGTGTGTGTTTTCCTGGTGGGAGGGGGAACCTTTAAATGTTTGATTATTTCTTTAAAATGAGAATTTTAAATGATCTTTAAAATGAGAAATGACATTTAGAGGGGCAGAGAGCTCTTCTTTAAAAACAGAAGCCAAGAAAAATAGTTACCCTTGTCCACATTTTACTACAATGTGAAACTAAGAGAGGATTGGCCAAAAGGGGGGRAAAAAAGAAAGAAAGAAAGAGAAAGAAAAAAGGAAAAMAATATTCTGAATTACCCAGATTTTAAATTTTTCAAGGTCTAGAGATACAAAGCTTTCCAACATTTGGGAATCTGGAAGATAATCTGTAAATAAAATATCCACATGATTTTATTTCTAGTTGATACAATTTTAAAGGCCATATACAAATGTTATACATTTTTATTTTTTGTTCTTTTTTTTWRGRAAAAAAATACACAAAAGGCAAAAACATCCTCAAATTGTTGTTTTATACAGTGCAGAAGTAAATTTAAAATACGTGTCACATGCTGCAGCCCAGCAGCCCAAATACTAAAAAGGGGGACAGTCCTTCATAGTATATATATTTATATAAAACATAGGAAATTTGTTTTTACATGGATTGGTCTTTGCTTCAAATTTACAATGGATATCTAAAACAAAATTCTACACGGCAAATATTGCCAACAAAGTTACACCATTAATACTGATCAACGGAGGAGCCTGTGCGGGGTTCCGCTTACTGGGAGAGAAAGTAGAATAAATAACAGGATGAGCCTCGCGTTAGTTTTAAAAGTGCCTTAACCTTTCTGCGTCTCCGCAGGGCTGAGAGCCGGTCGGCCTCCCGGGGCCTGGGTCTTAACCTCGCTCTCGGACCAGAAAGTTTACAGTAGAGCTCGGGAGAGAGAAAAATACCCACCGAAAAAGTAAAAATGAAATTCAAAACAAAACAGACCGGCGAGAAGGCCGAGGCCAGACAGCCGCTGGCTTCTGGGCTCCTTCTGTTTTCTTTTAAAGACGAACAGTGGCTTCAGAAATGTAAGGTATTCGCACAAAGATCCACCTGTGGCTGCTGGAGGAGCCTTCTGAGCCGGGAGGGCGAGGCCGTCTGGTCCCCTCCCTCCCGGCAAAGGTCGGCTCTAGAGGGACCTGCATTCCAAGACATTCTTTCAAAAAAGTTAAAAATAAAAAGATAAATACTCAACCAAAAAATAAAAGTATTTGATAATGGCTGGTCTCACGTGTTGCCTTTCGCCTAAAAATCCTCCCCGCTTTGGCCAGGGCGGGGACCTCAGCAGAACTCTGGGGGTCGAGGGCCTCGGCCGCTCAGCGCCTCCCTCCGCAGCCGCAGCCGGTTCCACACGGTCGACCGAGAACAGCCCGCGATCGCCGGGCGGGCGCTGCAGTCCCACCAGGCCCCAAGATCCCGTTCTAAAGCCCGCAGTGAGCCAGTGGGGGAGGAGTCGCTGACCGCGGCGGCCTGGGGCCTCTGCGTTGGGGATTTCTTTCCAAATAATCCGGTTGGGGAGGGGTCAACCCCCCTTTTTTTTCTGCCGAAGGTTATACCTCAAGAATAAAGCAGTTTCTGGGGGGGGGCTCCGAGGTCCCCGGGCCTGCCAGCCCATGCCGGGAGCACCTGGTGGGCCGCAGCCTCACATCACGCAGGGCTTGATGTCTTGGTAGGTGACCTGCTGGTGGTAGTAGGAGCCCCCGCTGGCCGAGTGCATGGAGGAGGACGCCATGGCGTTGAAGGAGAAGACGAACTCCTTTCGGTCACACATGCTGGGCGACTGGGAATGATACCGCGGGATGCCTGCAAGGAGAGCCGACAGAGGATTGGGGACACCAGACTTAGCATCAGGGCCAGCATTCAGGGTGGACCAGGCACTGTGCAGCGGGCCACGCAGCTGCCAGCCCGGCTCCAGCGCACGACCACCTTATCACCCACTGCCTGCTCCATCCCAACTTCCCCGCCCCCGTGGGGCCAACCGAGGCTGACCCGGTTTCAGGTCCTGAGTTGTGCACACAGGCAACCATCCCAGAACACTGCCCGGCTTCCTGCAGCTCACACACCAGGGCCTATCCGGCCTTGGACACTGTCCGTCCGGGCCAAGGGTTTCCCAAAGCCGAAGGGGAAGGGGTAAGGGAGGCAGCCTCCCTTACTGAGGCCACAGAGGCCTCTGGGAGCCAGATCTTCTGAAGCCTCCGGGCAGCCACCTCCACCAGGTAGAGCAGAGCGGGAAGCCCCAGCCAGGCCAGGCCTGCGCCGTGGCTAGGCCGGCATCACGGCCATCCGCAGGGCAAAAAGAAAAGCGTCAGAGGACAGATCTCTGAGAGAACAGCCCCCCACCCCTGCAAGGGAACGGGTAGGGAGTTTGAAGAGGCAGCCCACCCACCTCCARGCCCGTCTCCTGCCTCCTGGAGGCTGCTGACAGCTGACCCTGACAGGCCCCAGTGAGCTGCTCCCTACTCCTTCCAGAACTAGGCCCAGAGGGTGGTGGCTCGGGCGGATGGCTCAGAGGGGKAGACTGTTCTACATCTTCTTTCTCAAAGAACTGTGTGTCTAGGGTGGGGGTCTGGGGACCTAAAAACCTTGATCCTGTGAAACAAAGAGCTGTGTGGCTGGAGGCCCTGACCCTCCTTGGGCCTGGCCACCGCACTGCATCTGTCACCACAGAATGCCCCTGCACTCACTGCCAAGCCTGGTTCCTGCGAGGGCCGGGCTGAGCCCAGGGGCACCAAGCCCAGGAGGCTCTGGGCCTAACTCTTCCTGGATGCCTGCTGAGGGATCACTAGGGGACTGCGGGTTACCTGGCCAGGACTGAGGGTCCTGGCTCCACATAGAGACCCGTCTGAAGAGCGAGAAGACTTAAGGCACCCGAAGGACTTAGAGTATTGGAGTCTGAGACACTTTGGTGAGAATGGGGCCTACCTGGTCAGGCTTGGGGAGGCCAATAGGGCAGAGTTAGAACAGAGGAACAGATAAATTGGACCACATTGGAGGTCTCAAGCTGCATTGCCCTTCACAGGGACAGAGTGGGACCCCGGGCACCCAGGGGAGCTGCTCCTTTCTTCAGCAGTAAGAGGGTCTCCACCATGGCAGTCAGCGGGCTTGGGGCTGGGTCCTGTAGGGCACTCACAGACACGGCTTCTAGGGACAGTCTGAGCCTTCCACTCACCTTGCAGCTCAGCTGGGGCGTTGTGGCTGTTCTGGTGCAGATATGGCTGGTCCAGGGAGTGTGTGGAGAGGCTGCTGGACAAGGGGGTGGCTGCAGGGTTGCAGGGGGACAGGGGCTGCTGCTTGATGTAGGAGGCTCCGCTGTTGAGCGCCGCAGAGGCCGAGGGCGGCCAGGCAGCCGCAGAGCCCGAGTAGACTGCGTGTGGCTCCATGACCCCGCTGGCGGCCGCCGGCAACAGAGGGGAGGCCGGCACCGAGCTGTCGTGGTGCGGGTACTCGCCCGSGGCCGCGCCGCCGCAGCTGCCCATGTACGAGTGGCCGCCGTTGGAGGGCAGGTGGGGCACCGAGTGGCTGGGCAGAGCCATGCCGTCCACGTTGCCCGGCAAGTGGCCGTTCATCATGCCCAGGCCGCCCTCCAGGGCCAGGCTGTTGGGCGGACAGGAGAGGCCGCCGGTGGAGCCCTGGAAGCCATAGGTGTCCGGGAGGTGGTTGAAGCCGAGCCCGTTCATCATGCTGTACATGGGCTTGAGCGCCTGGCACTTCCGCCTGAATCCGCGCGGCCGGCGGCGGAAAGAGCCCTCCTCGAACATAAACTCGCTGGCCGGATCGATAGTCCAGTAGTGGCCCTTGCCGGGCCGTCCGAGGCCCTTGGGCAGCTTGATGAAGCACTCGTTGAGMGAGAGGTTGTGGCGCACCGAGTTCTTCCAGCCCTGGTAGGAGCCGCGGAAGAAGGGGAAGCGGCTCTGCAGGAACTGGTAGATCTCGCTGAGCGTCAGGCGCTTGGTGGGCGAGCTCTGGATGGCCATGACGATGAGCGCGATGTACGAGTAGGGCGGCTTCTCCGGGCGCCGGATGCCGGCGTTCGTCTTCTTGGCTTTGGACGGGCCGGACGACGCGGGGTCCATGGCCGCGCCGCCTCCCCCGCCGCCGCCGCCGCCGCCGCCGCCGTGCGGTGGCTGCTGCTTCTCGGGCGCCGAAGACATCGGGTGGCTGCTGCCTCCGCCGCCGCTGCCGCCGCTGCTCTGCGCCGCCGAGGGGCCGGGAGGAGGAGGAGGAGGAGGAGGAAGAGGAGGAGGGGGAGGAGGGCGAGGGGGAGGGGGCTGCGCGCGCGGGGCTGGCTGCACCTCTGCCGTCATCGGCGGCCACTTCTCCCGAGCGAGCCTCGGCGCGCCCTCCCCCGCCCTCCCGTCCGCCCGCCCGCCCTCCCGAGGAGCTGCTGGATCCGCCGGCGGTTGGCTCAGAGCCCCCCTCTCCTCCAACTCCTCCTCCCCCACTCCTCTCTCCTCCCTCTTTCTCTCTCGCCCTCCCACAGGGGAAGGAGCCGAGCGGAGGCCGAGGGCAGCCCGGGCGGAGGCGGCGAGGAAGCTCCCCCCGGGCTTTTGTGGGGGGAGGCACCACCTCTGGGGCCTGCGGCCGGCGTGCGCCCCGGCTGGGAGCAGCGCTCCGTCCCCGCCGCCCGCGGCGCTCCGCTCCACGGATTCCCGCCCAGGCCGCTTTCACCGCACCTCCGCTCGCAGGGGCGCCTCGCGGGCTGAAGTAAGACCCCGCAGGAGTCCCCTCCCGGCCTCCCTGCGGCCCCAGTCGGTGGGCGCTAGAAGGGCCCCCGCCTCCTCCGCCCCGCAGCCGCCCGCAGAACCCGCCCCGCCTCCACCAACCTGGCGAGCAAGTGTTAGTGTGCCCTCCGCCCGCGGCTCGACCCCGCGGCGCGCAAGCCCCCGGCCTGCTAGGCTCGGGCGGAGCCGCGGGAGACGAGCCCCGGGCCCCAGGCCTTTCCCGACCCGCACAGCCCGGTGGCAAATGGCACCCGCCAGAGCAGCAGCGGCCTCCGGGTCGTGACCATCGCGGGCATAGCGGGCTGGGCTCCGAGTACCCGCAGCGGGACGGCGTAAGTTCCCGCGAGGGACCGCCTACCTACTCTCCCCGCCCCGGGAAGGACTGTGCCGCGCCCGGGATTTTTCGGACTCGCCCAGAAGTGCGCGAGCGGGCGGCCAGCTGCCCCGGGCTGAGCGCGGGCGGAAAACGAAAGCTCAGGGCTGGTCAAGGTTGCTTTGTGTCCGGCGCCACAGGCAGGCCGGACCCAGGCGAGTGCAAAACCGCACAGGTTCCCAGAACAAGCAGCCCCGCTCACTCATTTATCTGTGCACACACACACTCGTGTGCTAGAGCATACACTTAGCACCCACATACTCAAATGGTCCACTTGAAAATCCAGTAAATCACCTAGACTCAGACCCACAGGCACCGTGTATGCCCACTTCAGCACACAGTGCTCAGGCATGTGAACGTCCATCAGTGCGCGCGCTCACGCACACAGAGTAGGCCCCTGGGAGCTGGAATTCGCATTCTCTCACGCGTATGCACATCGCGCTCTGAGCCGAACTCACGTACAGCCCAATTCTCCCCCAACCGCCCTGCCAATACTCCCACTGAATCTCCTTCTGTTTGGCCCCGCGGTCCAGAGTTCCCATTTTCCAAGCGCAGGTTCTGATTTCCCGAGAGATGGCAAAGGCCCTGGCAGGAAGTTTACAGGCTCAAAGTAAACATGTTCGGGGGATTCTTTAATAATAATAGAGAATTCCGCGTGCGCGGGGGGGAGTTGGCCTAATGCCCCTGTGGGCTCAGCCTACCACCGCGGCGGGGGCCTCTGACACTGCGCGCCAGGCCAGGTTCCGGAAGGCAGGCTGCTCGGGTGGGGAGCGCGGGCCAGGGCGGCCCTTCAGCGCCTGGCTGCTGGCCGGGAGGGGCTGGCACGCACGCCGTCCCTAGCCAACCTCGCTGCGCGGGCTTGCGGGCTAGCTCGGGTGCACCGGAGGTGCTGTCGGGCGGAGCGCGGGATCACGCAGAAGGCGCAACGCAGAGCGCACAGACCCAGGTGAGTGTGGTTTTCCAGCGTTCCGCTGGGCGCCGGCCTGGGCAGGGAGAAGGGGGGCAAGGCGTGTTTTCGCGGGTCATCGCGAAGAGCCATACCGCTGTGCCCCGGCTCGAGCTAGGGCGACAGGCGTGTGCCGGGCTTTAAGCCCAGCTTGCGGCTCCTTCAAAGTCCACTGGCCTCTGGGGTTTCTCCAGATCTTTGTCCACCTCTCACCAGCACCCCCTCCCGCAACACACACACACACACACACACACACACACACACACACACACACAAGCCTTCAACTTTTTGGCGGAAGACGCCTTGACGCCTTCAGGGCGCCTGGCACTGCTGTGTGAGGAACTGGGGGTGGGTGGCTTGCCGGCTTAGCCTGCTGGGCTGTCACCGCTTCCCCTGGCAGAGCCCGGCTGGGAAGATGGCTCTGGAGATGAGAGAGTTGCTTCCCCAGCCTTGTCCTGCCTGGGGAAAGGGCGAGTGTGGGACATAACCACTTAATATTTATCTGTGCCTACACAGTTGGGTGTTCTCACAGACAGCCGTGGTGGACAGAAGCACTCCACTTTCAGGGCCCACTTGGCATTGCTACCCACAGACACTCTCAGTACCTCCAAAGCTTTGCCTTTACCCTCCCAGCCAATGCAAACCTACAGCTCAAGTGCCACAACCCTCCCAGGGTCACACAGCCTGCCCACTGAGAGCAGCCCATGCTCCAGGCACGCCTACACCATGCTGTGCTGCATTTGCCCACCAGAGCCGGTCCCACACTCACACACAACCACAAGAACGGCCACCCCACCCCAGCGCACGCACGCCATGGGCACACATCACTGTCTCCCCACACACGCATGGCAGCTGCAGAGGACAGTGGCCTGGGTGCTGGAAGGGAGGTTTGATCCTGGGAAGGAGGTCTCCCCACACCTGGCCTTTAGCAGAGGTGAGCCAGTGAGGGGTGCACAGGCACCCACAGCTCTCCAAAAGTGGCAATAGTATCTCCATTCCCCTCTCCCCTTCCTTCACTCCCACAGGCTTCCAAAGTGAGGGGAGTTTACAGAACATGGAGTTGGGGGCCCTTTTACTAGTAGCCTCCTTCCCCTTAGGTGCTCTCCAGCTGGGGTTTGCTGCAGATTCTTGGACGAACCCTGAGATGGGGTTTCCTAGCCTCCAGCACACCATAGCCTTTCACATGCACCCCCCGGGAGTTCCTTATGTTTTGGGATAAAGGAACTTCTGCCCTTTAGGGAAGAAGCTGTGGGATTATTCCTTAGGCCTGAGAGCTAGCCAGATTCCGAAGGGGAAGATCTGCAGAGTGGTGCCCAGGGAGAGAGGGGCCCAGCAGCTGGGGTCTTGGGATTGCCAAAGTCTAAAGCTCTCCCCAAACCTCAGTCCCTACTGAGGTGGGAGGTGAGAGTAGGGCCTGACGGGGAGAGGAATGAGTACCCAGTTCTGTAATATAGACCCCCCAATTTCTTGAAAACCACATTCATGGCAAGATGGCTTTTCTGTGAGTTCAGAGACAAGTTCTTGGCTCTTTCGGGGCCCTGAGAGGTCCCTTTGATCTTGCATTTCTGGAATAGAGAAGCTGAAGCCCAGAGAGGACTTGGCCCAGGTCAGCTAGTGCTGCGAAGCCACCATCTCTCCGTCCTTCCTCTCTTCCCCTTAGGACAGAAGGGCATGACTTGTCGTCTTCCCAGATAGTCCAGGAGTGGAAAGAGTGCACTTTCAAAATGCTTCTGTCCCCACACCACAGCCCCGGCTTCCCAGGCTGCAGGGGCTGGGATTTGTTGGACAGCTGAGGGTGCTCGCCTAACAGCCCAAGTGACCTTAGCTGTGGTGCTCTCCTCGGCTGACCACGCACCACCCACTGCACAGCTAGGTACACAGCCCTCGGCAGGCATTCTTAGCCTTTCTCTGGGCTACATCCCCTTGATGAGCTGTGAAAGTGGTATCCTCCTAAGGTGACATTGGTAAGGTGATTCAAGGCTTTGCCAAAAATGCCTGGAGCTAATTCATGATCATGATCCCCATCCTCCTGCGCTTTACCCCGGACCCTGGTAAAAGCCCTAAGGYTACCTGCTTAATATTCCCAGGGTTCCCTATCAAGCCAGTCTTGTTCCTCTCCCTTTAGGAAAGGGGCTGGCAGGTTCAGGGGCCACCCTGCAGAGAGACCCTCCAGGTATAGTCCAGTGGTCCTGGGGATGTGGTCCCACCTCCCACACCTTGGGACTCTGTATAAACTGCAGTTTTTTTTTTCCCTCTAAATATTGGAACTAATTATGACACCCGTTTCCTAGAGAGTGTGACGGGGTTATGGACTTGATCTACTCAAACAGAAACGAAGACCCCCGAGGCTCAGCCTGGGCTGGGCTGTGGGAGAAAATGCCCGCAGGATCCCTGAGCAGAGCTTCACTCTCCGCCGCGGATCCCTTAAGACTGCTCTGGTCCCCAGTCAGTCCGCTCCGGCCTGGCCCCAGGAATCCCCAAATTGGAGGGGGGTGGTGTAAAAACAGCCTGCGACGTCCCCACTCCCCAAGCCCGAGGCATTTTTACTGGCTAATTGCTTAAGTGAAGCCGCCGGGGCCCAGAGCGCGCCGTAATCCGAGCGGGGAACCAGATCCAGCTCGGATGGTGCCCGGACGGCCGGCCGCGGCGGGGGCAGGGCGGCCGCCGACCACCCACCGCGAGGGCAGCCGCCCTGCCCGCCGCCCCGGCCCTGCACTGACGCCGGCCCGCGCCCCCTGGCCCCTGCTGCCCCAACCCCCTGCGAGGCGACGTCCAAACGGTGCCTCAAGGTAGGGCGGTCAGCGTGCGCTGCGCCGAGCGACCTGGACGTTTGGCTCAGGAGCCTGGCGGGTCCCAGGCGTCAGTGGAGAAGGGAGCGGGACGCGGCAGGGAAGTGGAACTCCAGGTCCCCGGAGCGGAGAGCGGGAATCGGGATGGGGGTGGGTTCTTTGAGAGTGAAAGTTCAGGCTTTGGGTATGGAGGTCTGTGGTGGGAAACGCTAAGGTCGGAAAGAGAGGGCGCCCCTGCGCTTGGATAGAAACTGATCTGGGTACCAAATGCACAGGACAGGTCTCTGCACACTCCAGATGTGCACCCTTTGCTGCCCTCGCCTGCGGAGCACCCTAGCTCGCTGGCCAGCCAGGCCCTG